GGATCTGCTGTTTCTGAACATGCTGCAGTGCTCTTCCTTATTCCTCTAAGGCTAGAAAGAAAGGAAAGATGATCAGGAATTATGCTTCCTCTAGCTCCATGTTTAATTTATGGAATGGGATCCCATGGTGATTTTTGATGTTATTCATAGCAACACAGTGGAAATGATTTTCTTTCTGTAAGAAGCAAAGTTGTTTTCTTGAGTAAGTTTGTTAATAAAAATGAAAACATTTGCAAATGACCATTCAGAAACAAGGAAACGTCCAGGTGCTTTTTGTATGGTGCTGAGGGAGAACATCTCTTCCTCGAACTGAGACAGTGGTGGTGGTGGTGAGGACAGGACCTCTGAGCATTGTACCTGGCAGGAGGTGGGAGCAGGAGAGTGGGAAACAGCCTGTGTTTTTTCACAGTGTTGGCATCGAGCGCCTGAGCCGATTCAAGCACATACTTGTCCCCAGGCTCCATGCCCTGTGTCTACCTCCCTCTGTGCTGCAGGCGCTGGATCAGGATCCTTGTTAGCCCTCATAGCTTGTAGGCTCAACAGCAGATATCGTGGCAGATATCGTGAGGCAAGATGGGCATGAGAAGCATCCACAGGTTTGTGTGAGCCATTGCATCTTTCTGTGGTGGGCAAGATTCAGGCTGCAATTTTGTTAACAGAGTTCACATTTATAATTCATGTGCATCGTTTGCGAGGCCCTGTGTTTCATTTGAAGCGTATCTGATAATGTTGTGTTTCTGCATGATAAATTGCTTGTGTGTGGGTTTCTTTCTGAAAAACACTTGAGTGCCTTAACAAGGAAAAGCATGATATGGAAAATGCCAGCATTTATATTACTTATGTTGGACACAGAACTGAATGCATGCTGCAAATGGGAAGGGAGGGTAACCTACATGTAATAGCTTCGTATTTTATGTGGCTGTGCTCTGCATCTATAATTACCACAACATGAGGTTGCTAGTAGTTCAGTTCCATTCTCCATCTAGTCTGGAGTTGGTAATAGGGCTGAGTCTTTCAAAAATTCGTTGCTTTGGTGTTAGGGCACTGACCAAATAATCTCTGGACCTCTCTACAGATAAAGTCAATAAACTGGGTTCCTAAAAAATCTGGGGAAGAAAACCTAACCTTCAAAGTAGAGAATGTCTGTTTTTTTTTTTTTTTTGGTTAAAGTTTAAAACTTCGGTTGTTCTGTTTCCTTTTTTGTTTTTGCCAGCATAGCTCCATTTGGGTAGGTGACATTAGAATACACGTACTGGAGTGGCCTGTTGTACATTTTGTTTTCAGGTCTCAGTCGAGTTTGTAAAGCAAATGCCTAGAGTTAAACCAAACATGGCTTGGACAGATTTTCTTCTTTTGTCACCCTTTTATAACTCAAACATAAGCAAGAGACAGCTAGGAAGTAAACAGCATGTTTTACTATCACTACCGATATACTCACATGATATATCAGTATACTGATGTATCTGCAAAGTGAAGAGTTGCTTTTGGTGTTAATTGGTGTAGAGGCAAAAGTATTTTCACCTATTTTTTGAGTTTGGTGCACAGAGAAATGATCAAATAGTGTTGCTTGCCTATTTTATCTATTTATTTATTTAGCATCAGTGTTGTCGTCACCATATTTTTGCAGAATGTTTTCTTTGCCCGTGTGAATTTTTATGATCTTGGCAGTCGAGTGGCTCTAACAAATATATTGTGGTGTCATTAGAGTTCAGAGACAGCTGAAAATAGGGTTTGCTTTCCTTTTGATAGTTTGTTTAGCATATGCTTGGAGTACTCCTTGTAGTTGTCTTTGAACTGAGGTTATGTTGTTGCAAGATGACAACACAATTATTTTTATTAGAGAACAGGTTGGTGAGGCTTTAAATCATAATGAGGTTGATTTTCATCTGAGCTGGTCCAAGGGGAATCTGCTTAACATAATGCAAGTCATAATGCCTTGTTTTCTCTTAAAGTTCTATTACCCTGTCATTAGGTCAAGGTATGTATTTTAACTTGCTTGGTTTCTTGCTAGCAAGTATAGCTGCAAAAATCACTTCCCTCATGATTTTCCTTCAGGCCTTAGTCACCACTGTTGAAAGATATTAGCACTTCTGTTGTCTTGCTGGATGAATTTGACTTTTGCACTTAACCTGATCCACCATCAAGTATGAAATTAGTGAGATGAGAGGTCAGTAGAGAAGGAAGTGGAAGATGGGGCTGATAAAACTATTCAATGATGTGACTAGTAAAGGTCAGGACTTCAGTTTGAAAAGGATATTTTGTCTCTCTTTAGCATCAATCGAAAGGTAAAAACAATACTGGGACTGACGTGGTAGTACCAAAGAGTTCTTTCTAGAAATCTTTGATTTTGGAAAAAAGAAGAAGAGCACAAGAGGACTGTGATATGGACAGAATGTGCTTACTTTAATCTGTGTTGCTTTTTGTCCTGGTAATTTCTGTTACAAAATGCAACCTTTTTTACCTGTAAGGTGTGTTGTCACTGTGTGTTGTTTCAGCTCTGTGTTCTGGATCAGAGCTTGTCAGGGGCTGTCTGCTTGTCTTGCCCTGAAAGCAGCAATTTGGCTTGAAGTTCCTAGCTGGTATTTTTAAAACAGTTGAGGTCGATTGGTTCTAAAACTCACTGTAGGGAGTGAAAAGAGTGAAGCTTTTTATATGGGGTGTTTAATACATTTTTTTTTTTTTTTTGCATCCCCTTATATTTTACCTGCCTAGTGCCTGAGAGCTGCTCAAGATACCTTTCCCTGTTCTGGATGTGCATGAAAAGAAAGCTGGCCAACCAAGTCCTTGATCTTTGGAAAAGTCAAAATCACATGAGGCTTTTACAGCTGTGTGTGTGTGCATCCCATGCTACTGCAGGTTACATTTGGACAGGACACAAGAGAGAGTGGAAGAACACCTGCCTGGGGACTGTTTGGTGGACATTTGTCTCATTTCTGCTTTTCAGAGTTGACAAAGTGGTTTTCGTTTGCTTGTCATCACACAGTGTTATGAGGTGTGTGAGCTCCACGGCACGTGTTGTGGTGTGTTTCTGGTCCATGCTTGCCCTATGCCTCTCCACAGCCTTTGGGACCATGTGGTCAAGTTCCTGAGCACTTGCCATGGTTGCAGTAATGTCTCCCGCTATTGTGGCTAAGCTGTCCTCTCATTAAGTACATCTCTGGGCTTGGCTTGACACAAGGTTCTTTCTGTGCCTGGACAGAGAAGCAGCACACCCTCATAGCTGTTTAGATGCCCATATTGCTATGTTTTCTCCTCTGTGGGTGCTTATTCAAGATGATAGACTCTGTTTGCAGGTTTGTAGGTCTAGTGGTCCCCAAATTGCAAGGGAAGAGAACCTAACCCACTTAACCAGAAGAACAGGGCAAAGATGGGCTTTCAGTGCTGCCCTGAGATCACTGAGCTGACAAGGAAGAGGCCGGAGAGTAAAAGGTTGACAGAGATGGAAGGCTGCTTCTGCAAAACCTCCATCATAAATGGCCTTTGTGCCTGACAGTGTGATAGCGACAGGTCAGCCTAAGGTAATGAAGATAACTAATTCTTCACCCAAGTCTGGGCAAGCCCAGCTGAGTGTGACTCTTTACTGATGCACACCATGATGCTATAGGAAACCTTGAATGCCTGGACAAGAAGTGCATGGGGAAGAGTTAGCAGAAGAGTTTGCAGTCCTTCGACTGTCTCATGCATGTTTGGCTCTGAACTGAGTTGAAGTTTTATAATTCCTCATAGGTTCTTCCACAGGATCATGTGGGAGCTATGATTTTTTTTAGGAGAAACGGGACAAAGGTCTGCCCAAAAGCTCTTGTGTTACATACAGGACAGCCACCGAAACTTCAGCATGGGCAAACAACAGGGAGCCAAAGCGGGGTTGTTGGAAGAGCGCTGTATCAACTAGTGCATTGATCTGCCGTTATTAGTTTATACCAGGTCAGCACTTTGCAGCGTTTGCTGTGTCTTTTTGATCCTCTCTGAATAGCCTAAAGGCAGATTTACTGCGTGTAAGCAGTCCTGCCCGAGGTCTGTCTGTGGAACCCTGTCCACAACTTTGTTCTTGGATTTGCCTTGAACATTCAATTAAGCAAAGATAAAGCGCACAGTTCCATGTGTGAGTCTCTTCCATCCCTAATTTCTGTTAATCTCTTGATTAGTATACAAGAACCAATCATGCCTAACGAACCTATTGGCTCAGTAACAGGGACTGCTTTTAATGTGCCTGCTCAACAGGGATTTTAGGACAGCGTTATTTACTGCACACTGACTCTTGCTGATGCTTCCCCTGAAGGGCTTAAGTCTAGAGTTATTCTGCAGTGATTGTGACACTCTTTATATACCCTCTGCTTTTATCAGGATACATTTTGTAGTGAGATAACTTAGTGAGATCTTGAATGTTTTTTATGCCTTTGATTAATAACTGTGTAATGGGTTCTCACAAGGTGCTGTGTGTTTTTGCAAACTGAAGTTTAGCTGATGTTAGAGAATTTCCATCCCTTTTTGCAGGAGTATCACCTTCATCTGAAAAGGTCTTTGAGACTGAATGAAGGGCTGTGCACTGAAGAAATAATATCTTTTCTGTAATTCTGTAGAAAGCAAAAGTAATCAAGATTTTCTGATGAAATATTCCATTATCAGTGGCTTCAGTGCTTTCTGTTTGTGGTAAAAGTGTTTCTTTAAAAAGATTTGTTTCTCTTGTTCCTGTTTTTCTATTACACATTTGTGAGGGATCTAGGAGGACTCCTTGCATGGTAGCTTTCAGAACCAAGGAAATTCTTCTCATGTGGAGCTGGTAGGTTGTTTTTCTTGAAGCTGACACTACAGCTTGCTCTGAGGGGCTTTCTGAGAATGCTTATCTTCTGTTTCCATGCAACAACTAACTTCTCTTTTCTGACATGCATTCAGAATAGATTTTCAGATTGGAGTGTATTTACATAAGCTTCTATTTGCATATTTCTCTTCAACAGTTAAATTTCACTGCCTTCTAACTGTCTTTTTTCTTTTTTTTTTAGATAAACTGTGTGACCTTCCCCCACCCTGATGTAATGCCAGAGCAGCAGTTGCTGAAACCCTCAGAATGGAGCTACTGTGATTATTTCTGGGTAAGCAGACAGCCACATGCCATATTGCAGCTTTTGAGCTTCAGCAAAAGTGGAACAAATAGCTTGACTTGTATTAAAAGGCACTTAAGAATTTGGGCTGGACTTTGGTGCGTTAGGGCAGTGTGAGGGAGAATGAGGAAGCCCTCTGAAGACTGCATAGAAACCAGTCAGCCACTCTCAGTATGTGGAAAATTATTAGAAGAGTGCCCAGAAAGGCAGAGTGAGCTTGTCCAGCTGGAAGCTTTGGTCACAAAATGGAAAGGATGTGGAAAAAACTAAGTATCTCAGTATCTCAGTTGAAAAGTGTGAAATGGAAAGGATGTATCAGTATCTCAGTATCTCAGTTGAAAAGTGTGTGCAATTGGAGAGAGAGGGGATAGAGAGATGGATGAGAAACAGGGAGTATTTAGTCAAGGTTCCTCAGAACGCAAGAACTAGGGATGTACAATGAAACTAGAGGTATCAGATTTGAAACAAGCAGTTTGTCACGAACTTCGTGAATGCATCAAATTATACAACTCATTCCCACAGAATGTGGCACAGGAGGCCAAATGATACTTAGTTTTTCTTTTTTCTCTTTTTTTAAGCATGAGAGCTCTGAAGGAGAGGCTCATTAAATTCTGTAAGTCAGCTCTTAAATCAGCTTGTTCATTGCGGCCTCCAGCACAAGGAATCTGCAGTGGTTGTCTATGCTGTTTATGCCCTCTTATTCTTAGCTCCACTGCAAAAGGCAGGATCCTGAATTAACCTTTCGTTTGTGGTAGTATAGTTGTCCTTAAGCATGGAGTTGATAGAAGAAAAATCCTCCACTAGAAAACTTCACCTTTTTTGAGGAAATACCACCTCAGCAATGGAAAGTCCATGAATTACAAATGTGTTCTCAGCTAACTGAATTTCTAAAATACAGTTTCACTTTTAAAAAATATTTTGTTTTTAGAGCTTCAACAGCTCTTCTACTCTTAGGTACTCAGTGTTTTTGTTTTAGGTCTGTACAGGAGACTGATGAGTTGCAGCCACTTACAAAAATGCACTAGCATAATTGTAAATGATTTTGTTAACGTAATTGTAAGTGATTATGTTGCTATGTCAAAGTTGATAGTTTCTTCAGTTCCTTCCAGTCTTACAATCCAGGCAAGCCATAGAGACAGAAATGGCTTGTAGGCATATTTCTTGCATATATGTCTTTTAGAAGACACTGCCATGTTTGGTCTCTTCCATCTAAAGGAAATCACTGCTTGGCTTCTTATCTGTGCTTGGTTATGTACTGCTCTCCGTGGAAATTGACTGAAAGTTGCTTTTGCTCTGCAATCTCTTACCCTTCCATAGCTCTGCTTCCAGGACTTCCTTTTCATTCAGCCTTGTAATCCTGCCTCTGTCATCATCTTTGATCCGCTCATCCAGTTGTCTCAGTCCTGTAATGTCTGGCTGCATAACACCTAGCATGCATGTGGCCGTACATCTTAGTGTCATGCATTGAGTAATGTGGCATTTTCTCTGTGTGTATGTGTACAGCACGCAAGACATTGGAGCAAAAGCTGTATTTCTTAGGGAAGCCTTCTCTGAACATGTGTGCTGGAAGTGGGTGGGACGTGGAGTTGTGATCTAATGAAAAGCAGAGAGAAAAAAGAATGGATAGAGGAAAAGGTGGCTGTTGTTCATTGTTGTAGCAGTCCTGAAGTCGACTGGAGCACGGGGTAAAAAAGGTAGTGAACAAATGTAGTGAAAAAATAGCGAAACACTGAATGAATTGCAGTAGAGGAAGCTATTGAACAAGTTGCTGTTTTACTCTGCTTCCCAGTAAAGCTCTGCAGTCAGGTTGTATTTCTTTGGGTGCAGATCAGTTAGGATAGAATTTTGCAATTTGTTGAAGCTCGTTTCTAATTGTGCTGCCCCTGGAAGGGGCTGTAGCATCCTCTCCTCCAGCTCTGTGTTCCCGTAAGCTCCCTTGTGTTAGCTCCAGGATCCATTTTTTTTTTTTTTGCAGGGTTGAGTTTTCAGGGCTCATGCTTGCTGGAGCCAGCCCATGGGAGTTATCAGGTATGAAAGGCCATGGGCAGAAGGGAAGGCAAGAATGCTGTTTCGGCCACAGCGCAGTCTTATGCTAGTTTAAGATATCCGTAAAACTTTGTAAAAAAAATAAATAAACAATAATCTGGGAATAAAAGGAGGGGGAAAGAGAAATTGTTGATACGTTCCCGTGAGAGGGGTTGAGATGTTGCAGTTAGCTTATATCTCAAGAGGTGCTTGCTACAAAACGTTTTTTTGACATAGTTGCTCTGTGTTGCCACTTGCTCTATGGAGGGCTCAGACTGCCTTTGAGAACTGCTTCTGTATATTTTTGATCCCCATATTTTTTCGTTGAACTTCCTTTTCCTTCCAGGCTGATAAGAAGGATTCACAAGGGAACAATACGGTATCAGGATTTGAAATTCTTCTTCAAAAGCAACTTAAAGGGAAGCAGATGCAGAAAGAAATGGCAGAGTTTGTTCGAGAAAGGTAATTAGCACTTTGCTATCAAATTAATTATACCTGGCAATATATAGATTTTTTTTGCTGACTTAGTGATTCCTTATGTATGTTAATCACTTAGCTTAAATTATGTAAAAGATGTGCTACCAGTTATAAGAGAACATTTAATATTTGTTTAATATTCATCCACATTCTCCAGTTTTCTCTCTCCAATTTCTTGCTCTGCCAACCTTAATTAGCCTTTTTAGATGGGGGTAACCAAGGAGATTCTAAGCTATAGATCTGAGGGAAAAGCATGGGCATGTGAAAAACAGTAAAAATGACATTTAGAAATGAAGCTTTTTATCTGAAACATAGAGAAGCAATTTGTCGACATGGAACATAGGTGCATTTTCTGGGAAAAGATATAAAAGCTGTCACCTGGGACTTAAACTGGTTGTGGAGGTGAATGCCATGTATAGATGTTTAGAGTGATTCTGGAGTGCTATTCATGGGCCATTACTCTGACATGGTGAGTGTACTGTGCACCAAACAAGCACTTTATAGATGCTCAGTTGAACCTATTTACAGGGGTGATATGATATGATATTACTCATAAGAAGTGTCACCAGTATTTGAAATCATTTGTCATGTGTCCAAGCTAGTACAAATCATCTTGAGGGTGACTATTAGAACTTCAGAGTAAACCATAGGGAAAAAAATGTATTTACCTGAGAGAGTGGCAGAGCAATTAGCATTTTCACTTCTGGAGGTATCTACAGCAGTTGATAAAGCCACCATCTTCAGCTACTGCCTCACTTTTGGTGCTTGCTTAGTACTTTCTTGCTTGGCTGCTGCAATCACAACTTGGCTATATTGAATTAAATCTATAGTGGTTGGAAAAATGAATAGGCCAGCAAACAGGAACCTACTCTGGAGTTTATGGGGCAGTTTGATCAGGCAGAGCTTATAGGTAGGTGCTTTTTGTTTGTGATGTGTTTTTAAGCCCCCAATCTCTTTTCTAGTAAGATGGATGTGACAGCAGTGGAGAAATAAAAAATATAGCACAGCCAATAAAGACTGATGTAATTGCTGCTCCACATTTACTTCCTTATGCCTTTGAAGTAACAGGATCCAAATGACAGATGCTGGTGTGATTCATGAAAAACTCTGACCAAAGAAACCAGGGAGAAGAAAGGATTGCCTAGTAAAGGAAAAGAAAAATTGAGACATAGTCTTACCTTAGCTATAATATGAGGAGAAAACGAGCAGAATTGCGTGATAGAAATGACCAGGAAAAAGGGGGCGAAAGCTGCTCCAAGAAGAGGATTATGTAATGAAATTTGACAGAAAATGAAAAAGGAGCATTCAAGAGGGAGGAAAAGTTGGCGTGACATGCAAATAGGCTGCTAGAGAGAAAAGAGAGCAATTCTGACACTAGGAAAAGGTATGTCTGTGTTGTTACTAGGGGATTAAATAGGCATGTTATGAAAGAAAAGACAGAAGGAGAGTTCTATGTCTATTGGGAATAGAGAAGGTTTGGAATTGAGGTTGAAGAAGATATAGATGGAGAGTTATAAAAAGATTATTTTTTTTAATTCCATTTGGAACAATGATTCACAGGTGCTGTGCATGGAAAAGGGTTATGGTGTCAGACTGCAGAGGTCACTTAAGGAAGTTGGAGCTCAGGCCTTTATCAGCAGCCTTTGCATCTCTAAGAGGGAAGCAATGGTGATTAAATCACCATTATGATGATGATGGTGATTAGATGATGGATTAGACAAGTGGCTCAGGAAATATTACTATCAAGACTTTCAGAATGATTAACTGGTAGGTATCATTCATGTGCAGAAAATATCCCTCCATACATCAGGCTTCTGCAACCAAGGCTCAGAACAGCTAAGAAAAGGCTTTATGTAGCAGCCTGGAAGACTATGAGAGTTTCTGGCTTTTCTTTTTTCACGCACTCTAAGGAAGGATAAAAACTAGGTAAATGAAGATAGAATAATCAGAAAAGTAGAGGAGGGCAGGTACAGTGATATATTTGGCCAATATTTAGATTTTTCTGCTTGTTAATTCTAATTTGACTGTAAAAAAAAATGGAAGCATTTCTACACAAAGATACAGAAGCTGGAAAATAAAATGAGAGAAATCGAAACTCTTGGTACCAGGTCATGCAACTGGACATAAGCAGCAATAGCAGACATATGGTAGATTACTAATCATTTTGGACATACAGTGATTGGCGAGAGAGGTAAAAATAGAATCATAGAATAGAATCAT